CAAACACATCCAGGCGCTCTCAACGCGTCGAGCGACAGAGGAAGCCCCCAGAGCTGGTGACCGAGGCCTCCTGCGTCCGCGGGGCCCAGACGGCGTCAGACCAGACTCTGAGAAGCCCCCCACCAGCTTCCCCGCCCCCTCCCACCCCCAGGCACCAGACGCCAGGACCGAACAGTGTCCCCGCAGGAGCAACAGGGCAACACAGAAACACGATGAAAACATTAAGGTGGAAACACCCATGCATACGAGGGCAAACGAGGGCTCCGTGCATGTGGACGACCGAACATCTGACACACGTCCGCTCGGAGCGAGCGCCTGAAAGCAGGATGAGCCCCGTACCCCGGCAGGTCCATGTCCCACCCCTCCTGGCCCCCAGGTCCCGCTTAGGGGTCCACTTCCAACAGCAAACGTGAGTGCTTCAAGGCCGGAGTGTCTCGGGCACCAAGCAGCTCAGCACCACGCACCCACGCCCACCACGCCCAACGCCAACCACTCGGTGACGCGCCAGCCACACCCAGCGCTGCACCCCGCAGCCTCTGGATGGACAGTCAGGGCTCAGGAAGCCGGAGCCGAAGCGCGAGTGAGAAGTGGGTCTGAGAGCAGAGAACCGTTTATTTCAGCAGCCAAAGGTCCCGAGGAGGCAAAGGGGGCGGCCACGCCGACACCCGTCACACGCATCTTCCCCGATTGGTGCCAGGTTGAGTATAAGCTACTTCTCTACTTAAAACAGTTACATTTACCGTGTTAACGTAAGACCTAAAACTATAAAACTCCTAGAAGAAAAGAGAGGAGAAAAGCTTCATGATGTTAGATCCGGTGAGGACTTCTTGAATCTGACACCAAAAGCACGGGCAAAAAAAGTAAAAATGGGTAAAGTCTACACTACAAAAATGTTTAAATATTTTATTTACTTATTCCTGAGAGAGAGAGAGAGACGCAGAGACACAGGCAGAGGGAGAAGCAGGCTCCATGCCGGGAGCCCGACGTGGGACTCGATCCCGGGTCTCCAGGATCACACCCCGGGCTGAAGGCAGGTGCTCAGCTGCTGAGCCACCAGGGTGTCCCTGTTTTAAAATTCATGACTTTTGTTAATCGAAGGAAATAGTCACGAGAGTGATAAGGCCAGCTACAAGACGGGAGAAAACAGCTGATTAATATCAGAGTATATGAAAAACCTCTACAACTCAACAACAAAAAACAAGCAACCGGATTTAAAAACAGGCAAAGGAGATCCCTGGGTGGCGCAGCGGTTCGGCGCCTGCCTTGGGCCCAGGGCGCGATCCTGGAGACCCGGGATCGAATCCCACGTCGGGCTCCCGGTGCATGGAGCCTGCTTCTCCCTCTGCCTGTGTCTCGCCGTCAGGAAAACACAAGGCAAGGAGTGACGAGGACACAGAGAAGCTGGAATCCCTGCGCAGGGCGGGTGGGAACGTAAGGAAGTGCAGCCGTTACGGAAACCAGTATGGTTCTAGGGGCTCCCTAAAACATTAAAAATAGAGTTACGCCATATGATCCAGTAATTCCACTTCTGGGTATTTCACGCAAAGGAGCTGAATCCGGGGTCCAGAAGAGAGATTTGCACACCTACATGTGAATGCAGCATTTTTCACGACAGCCAGGAGATGGGAGCAACCCCACGGCCCCTGACAGACGAGAGGGCGAAGAAAATGTGCTCTGCACACACAGTGGAGTGTTGGCCTGACAACAGAAGGAAATCCTGTCGCTGCTACGACGTGGTGCACATGAAGGACAGCAAGCTCGGTGGACTCAACCGGTCCCAAAGTACTGTATGATTCCACTTACATCAGGACCCTGGAGGAATCGAATTTTTAGGGACAAAAAGCAGGATGGTGGGTGCCAGGGGCCACGGGAGGGGTGAGGACAGAGTCCCTGTCAATGGTGACAGGGTTTCACTTTGGAAGATAAAAAGTTCTAGAGGTGGATGGGGAACATACGCAACGCTGTTGCACTGTACACGAAAAGTGGTTAAGGTAATATTACATTATGTACATCCTACCACAATCCAAAAAATTAAGTTATATTCATCTTTTTAAAATATTTTCTTTGGGCAGCCCGAGTGGCTCAGCGGTTTAGCGCCACCTTCAGCCCAGGGCCTGATCCTGGAGACCCGGGATCGAGTTCTGCGTCAGGCTCCCTGCATGGGGCCTGCTTCTCCCTCTGCCTGTGTGTCTGCCTCTCTCCTCTGTGTCTCTCATGAATAAATAAATAAAATCTTTAAAATAAGTAAATAATAAAATATTTTATTTATGTGACAGAGAGAGACCAGAGAGAGAGAGAGAGAGAGAGAGAACGCATACACGTGCACGAGTGCGGGGAGGGGCAGGGGGCGGGGGGAGAAGCACCCTCGATGCCGGCTCCGGTCCAGGACACCGGGATCACACGCTGAGCTGAAGGCAGATGCTTAACCAGGCGTCAGAAAACTTTCCAAAAGAAACCCAAGACAGGGGAGCAGCACCTCATAAAAGTGGTACTACTTAAGGTAAAACAGAACAGCTGCACCAGTCAAGGGCGCCGCGCGTCAGCGTCCGTGAAGAATTCTGCAAGGGGCGCCGCATGTTCCAGGGCAAGCCGTGAGCCGAAGTCCGTTAGCGAGCTTCCAGCTGCCGTCTCCTCACTGGCATAACCCAGCCGAAGACAGACGCAGAAACGGCTCCACCTCTGAACAATCACAGAGTAACGAGGCGACGTGATGCCTTATAAAGCCCAATGCTCGGGGGATCCGGGGGGGGGGGGGATCGTTGAGCGTCTGCCTTCGGGGGTTGAGTGTCTGTCTTCAGCCCAGGGCGTGGCATCGGGGTCCCGGGATCGAGTCCCGCGTCGGGCTCCCTGCATGGAGCCTGCTTCTCCCTCTGCCTGTGTCTCTGCCTCTCTCTCTCTCTGTGTCTCTCATGAATAAATAAAAACTTTAAAAAAATAATTTTTTTTTTTTTAAAAAAAGCCCAATGTTCTGGAAAGTGTTAGCCGATGTGGTTCTCAGCATCTTCAAAACTGAAAGAACTAGGACCAGACAACATTCCCTCCACGGCCCGGCTCACACACCCTGAACACTTCCAGGTTTTCAGAGCTTATTCTATAAGTATCTTCTTAATGAAATTGATAACAAGACCAAAGTCATGAGAAAAAAAACAGAAAACAAATAGCCAGAGACGGGCAGAAAGCGAACCCTGCTGACGATGTCGTGAGCTGTGTGCAGACCAAAGGCCTCACACAAAGGGCAGACTCCGTGAGAAGGGACAGAAAAGCAAGACCCTACAAGACTCACCCCGGCTGAGGGCAAAGGGCACAGGCCGCAGCGGCTACGAGGGCTCCAGCCGGGCCTCTCTGCAGGTCCCCAAGCCAAGGACGGTTTCTACGTCGTCGTAAAAGGTCAGATAAAGAAAAAACTACAAAATACACGGAACAGTGACCTGAAGTATTTACTGCCTGGCCCTTCAAAGAAAGCACAGGAGCCCCGACACCACGACCTCTCACATCACACCCCAAGACCAGGAATAAAACATAGCATAAAACAGAGGGAAACGTCATAATGAGAAAGGGTCAATCCAATGGGAAGACACACAAATTATAACCGTGAACGCACCTAACACACAGGCTGACCCCAAACGCACGGAAGATGGAGATGGAGAAGGGAAGGCTCTGACGTCAGCTGGAGACTTCGACGGCTTCAGAGCTTAGCCCAGCACCACGGGTGACACACGCGCCGTTCTGGTCTTAAGTGTCCTACTGACTCACTAGTTTCTCGCAGGGTCGGTGCAAGGGATCTTTGCCCCAATTATGTGAGATTGTGCAGTTACGCCTCAAGTGTCAGAAACCAGCACAATTCTCAGAAGATCCCCGGCAAGGAAACCGAGGAAGAGGTCTGCTGGCGGGTGGGCCGCACCCACACAGGGGGCACAGAGGCGCCCCACTCCCAGGAGAGCCCTGCCCTCCTGCGCACACGGCAGCCCCGCCGACGCCCCACCGTGCAGGGTGCTGGTCCTGGCAGGTCAGAAGGAACGCCCCGCAGGTGACGCCCCTACAGCCGGGCCCTCGACGTAGGGCCGTGAGCGGCCTCTACCTTCAGGCAGTCCTCTCCTCCAGCCCTGCTGCCTGCACCAGCAGCCACGCCAAGCCCTCCTAGACGAGGCGGTCTCGCCTTCCCAGGGGCGGTCACGGCGGCCGGCAGCGCGGACACCCCTCTGGGTTCTGGATCACAGGGGCCCCCAGCTAACTCGCCCAACACTCAGGGCCCTGGGGCTGCTACAGAACGAGGAAAAGCTGCCGCCTTCTAGGAGCCAACGGAGAAGACCGCCAGCCAGGGCGGCCACGCGGGACAGCACGGGGGACGGGGCCCCTGAGGGAGCGCGTGGGGGGCTGCTCCTGCGCTCCGGCACACCCCAACACGACCGCATCCACGCGGCAACACCGCACACCTGGCACACCTTAGGTCTCCAGAGGTAAAACTGGAGTCAGACCCTTAACCAGCACATCAGGCACGGAGACTGGAACACCTATCACTTCTCAAAAGTCATCTTAACAGACAAAATCTACAAGAAGACACACTCAAGGCTTCGCTCTATTTAACTGCTCCTCTGGAAAAAAAAATAAGAATTGTTATTTGACAGCTACATTTTTTTTTTTAAAGATTTTATTTCTTTACTCCTGAGAGACACAGAGAGAAACAGAGAGAGAGAGAGGAGAGAGAGAGACGCAGGCAGAGGGAGAAGCAGGCTCCATGCAGGGAGCCCGACGTGGGACTCGATCCCAGGACTCCGGGGTCACGCCCTGGGCTGAAGGCAGGTGCCAAACCGCTGAGCCCCCGGGCTGCCCTCTGACAGGTATTCTAATAAAACACATTAGTAATGAGACAAACACAAAACTTACCCATCCCAGTGGTTGATCTTCATGGCCACCAGGTGGTCTATCATGGGCTGTGTGTACTCAGGAAAGCCGGCGATAAACATGCTGAAAAAGACCGTATTGAGAGGCGGTGAGGACGTGAAGGAGCAGGAACTCCCGCCGATGCCTGTGGCGCGTACAGCCACCTTCGGTTTGGCAGTTCCTTATAAAGTTAAGGACACAGAAGTCCCCCTGGAAGTATTTACCCAGAAACAACCACAGCTAAGCACCCACATGAAGACGTACGGCTCAGAGCAGGGTACTCCTCCGAGCCACACCCTCCAAACAGCCTGACCGTCTGGGACGGGTGAGCTCAGAGGGACGCTGTGGCACGCCACCAGCCACCAGCAACAGACAGGAGCGAGCTCCGGGCGCACACGCTGCAGGCGTAACGCTCGGAACAACGTGCTGAGCTGAGAAGCCGGACGCAGGAGTACATCCTTCCTGATTCCACCACGAGATGTTCTACAAAAGGCACCAGCGGTCCACAGCGACGGGCTGAGGCTGCTCGCCGCCGCGTGTCATGCAGGTGCCGGTCACCCAGGGGAGACCTTGCTGACACCAGGTGACACCAGGTGTCCGCTCTTGCTCAACCGTGCGCTTCACTCAAGGACAGCTGATGGAATGTAAATCCTGCCTCAGAGATGAAAGGTACAGGGCGCCTGGGGGGCTCAGTCGCTGAAGTGTCGGCTCAGGTCGTGACCCCGGGGTCCTGGGACCGAGCCCCGCATCAGGCTCCCTGCTCAGCGGGGCGTCTGCTTCCCCCTCTCCCTCTGCCCCTCCCCCTGCTGCGTGGTCGCTCGCTCTGTCAAATAAGTAAATCTTTAAAGATAAATAAAAATAGAAGTCACATCTAGTAAAAATACTGTAGGAGGATTAAGAAAAAAAATCTCCAAGTAGGACAGGCGCACTCTACCTACGACTCAAAACCCAGAGGCCGTACGGCCATACCACCCTGAGTGCACCCGATCTCGCCAAAACTCAGAGGCCATCAAGGAAGATCAGTCGGTACATTCAAACACGTGACCAAAAAGAAAAACGTCTGCCAGGAAAAACACATCGTGAAGTCAAAAGATAAAAACAAACTCAGAAAAAATACCAGCAACTGTTACCACTATTAATAAGAAACCTCTTTAAAATAAAATTGTTCCAAATCTGTAAGAAAACACTATCACCTCAGAGGAAAAGCCTCAGTTTACAGAGAAGGAAATGGACACAGCTGGCGTCCAGCCTCCTCCTCGGAGGAGGAGACAGACAGGAAGCCTCCGTCCACCCACCAGACAGCCAAACCTGGGGGTGCGGGTGCAGCCATCGTTGGAAGGACCTAGAGGCATCTAGAAACACCGCTGGGAGCACCTCTGTGGAGCAGCCTCCGTGGACGGTGAATGGCATCGCCCAAGGAATGTAAAACGTAAAGATCCAGCCATCCCACCGCAGTCAATTCATTCAGATAAAACGCCACAGGTGGGAAATCCTGCGTGCAAACACATTGACATCGCATCACATCAAGCAGCCGAGACTAGGCCGGAGGGGAAGGATGCAGGGTGCATGGTACGTCCACCCGGAGGACAGGAGGAGGGAGGCGCCGCGTGCACGTTCGGCTGGTTCTGCAGCGCGGGCACCACACCCGAGCCGCCTGCCGACCCGCCGTCCCCCGCGGATGAGCACGCAAGCCGTGCCCACCTGTGCACCTGCTGCCAACGCTCGGCGAGCACGGGAGGAAGTCAGCACCGCGGCCTGCGTGACACGAACCCGGCCTCTCCAGAAGAGCCGAGGACCCCCGGGAGGGAACTGGGCCACCAGAGCATCAGCTGCACCTTGGGAACCGTACACCACACCCTTATGTCACCTCCTCCAAAAACACACACTCGTACGCGTCATTGCTCGAGAACGCCCAGCTGCTCCCACATATTGCCCAAGCCTGCGCGCCATCCACAGCCCCCATCACGGGCTCAGCCATCGGCCACGTGTGCTACCTGGAGGCTGAGAGACACAGTGGGCGGCACGGAGGGCCGAGAAGGGGGAAACACTTGGAATTACCCGGATCCTGGGTGGGCACGTGTGTGCATGTGCACGGGGTGAATGCGGTGCTGTGTGAACATGTGTGCGCTACAAGGTGCTGGACTGGGGGGACGGGCACAAAAGTGTGTGTTCTGGATGTGAAAGAAAGCAGAGACTTCTCCAGAGGTGAGGGAGACGGAGAGACCCTCCAACGGTGACAAAAGACGTAAAGTCAGAAGGAAAAACAGAAGAACCAGGACAGTGGATAAGCGGTCAGAGAGGAACCCAGATGTGACCCCTGGGAGGACCCCATCACCGAAGGGCCCCTGGGACTGCCAGCATCCACGACCGATGGCCGCACAGGAGGAGACAGACAGACGCCAGCCACCTGAGCTCTCGTTGAGCTCGGGACCCGGCGACAGCTGACCAAGGGGGAGACACACGCCCGGAACCAGCACCCGGTGCACAGCGCTCCCCGAGCTGCAGAGTCTGCACAGAGGCCACGTGCAGAGCCCCCGGCGGGGGGGGGGGGGGGGTCAGCAGACGGCGGCAGGCCAGTGGGAGCCGGGCCACGCGGCAGCTGAGGGGATCGGCAGCAGGAGGAGCCCTTGAGGGCTATTAGGGACACGAGTGACAGAACTAGGTCACCAAGCAGATGCAGACAAGGAGGCAGGAGGAGAAGCAAAACGGAGCTGACTGTGTGGGCGGCAGCCGTTCGCGGAGCTAGGAGGCAGTGAGGAGGCAGTTTGCTCTGAGGGCTCCTAAGTTAGAAGAGGTCCTATGACAGGAATCGGCAAATTACTGGAAAGCAAAATACGACAAATGGGGTTTCGAGAAGGGTGCACGGGATCGCAGATGTCAGAAACCCACCGAGGAAACTTCCAGCAGCAAGACAGGCCAACAGAGCCAGCGACCATGGGTCATGTCCCAACAGGAGCAGCCCCGTGTTCACGCGCTGACGTCAAAGGGGCTTCAGCAACCAGCCACCGGCGGACGAGGGACAGGCCGGGCGACAGCAGAACTCAGGAACGCGGGACGCCAGGACGCAAGCAAAGGCTCCACGTGACTCTGTCCACACCGGTTCCAGAAAAGGCAGACTCCGGGCCTGGGAGGCGAGTCCAGGTGCCAGGGCCGGGGCACGTGGGGCCGTCGGGGCCAGGGGGCGCGTCCTGCATGACCATATGGTGCTGCCCACTCATGGCCAAAACTCACATTTTAAGTTGGGGACTCTTCCTATATAGAAATTATGTGTAAAATAGTCGTATAAAATAACAATCGGACAAAAATAAACGTGACTTTTTTAAAGGTTTACTCTCAGGAATACACAGGTGACTGTAAGCAAAAGACAAGAGACAGAAAGAAAACATTTGCAGACCGTTTATCTGAAAAGGGGCTCATATCCACAACAGGTAAAGAATTCTGAAATTCTCAATAGGAAGAAAACTAACCCAATAAACAGGCAAAAAATTTATCAAAGGAGCCCCTGAAAGACGCTCCAAGTCCTCAGTCGTGAGGAAAACAGCAGCAAGCCTCCTGCCCGCCCGCCAGAACGGCTGTGACGGGAGCACGGGGAACGGGAGCACGGGCCGCCGGGAGCACGGGGAACAGGAGCACGGGGAACGGGAGCACGGGGAACAGGAGCGCCGTCCTGGAAATCTGCCCGCAGGCTCCTAACAGCTGGGCTCTGGCTGTTCCAGGCCCAGGCGCCCAGCAAGCGGAGCACTTGTCCGCAGGCAGGCGTGCGCGTGGCGTCAGCGCTGCGCACTGTGGAGCAGCCAGACCCGGAGGCACCCAGCGGCCCCTGCCCAGGCGGACGGGCCGATGAGCCGGATCCGCAGCGGAGCACTGGGCTGCAGAACAAATCCTCAACACGCAGCAAGTGACGGGAGCAGCACAGAGCGCGTTCCGTGGGGCCCACGCACCACCTAGGAAGGCAAAGCACCCCAGCGGCCGGCAGGCCGGGGCCACTGGGGGAGGCCGGGACCTGGGTGCCCCGCCCCGGCGTGCTGACACATCAGAACGTGACACGGGCGGGGTCCCCGCGCCCAGGACGGTAACCAAGCTGCCCAAGTGAACGCGAAGGCGGCGGGCCTGCGGGCACGACCACCAACAGCCTCCGCGGGCCGCCGGTCCAGCCTGTGCAGAGCTCTCATCTCCAGAGGAACCCCGGCCGCCCCCCGCCCCCGGGGGACCTGACCCCCCCCTTCCAGCTGCCGAAGTGCAGGCCCCTCCAACCACGTCCCACGACACAGGACGATGCAAACCCTCGCGTTGGCTCCGAGGCCCCGCACGACGCCCAAGCTGGGCCCTTCTGGCCCTGGATTGTCTCCCGGGCTGCCCCCCTCAGCACAGTCCCCTCCCCTCCCCCTGGACCCCTTCCCCAGTCCAGGCGGACAGCAGGACCCTGGGTGTGCGCCCTGCCCTGGCCCCAGGAGCCCCGTCCCACGACCACCGGACTGTGTCCTCACCGACCACCCCTTGTCCACACTAAGACGCCAAAGGCGCCGTCAGAACACGCCCGGCGCAGGATCAAGTTTTGCCAAACATCTCTATGCCACGCACACAGCTGTGACATCGATAAGTCTTAGATCAGCTTAGAAACCCTAGCGACAGGGAAAACACAGCAAGGCTAAAAACTGGGCATTAATGTTACCCAAGAAGCTCCAGGAAAAGGGGTAAATTCTCCACATTAAAATATATGTTCAGGGATCCCTGGGTGGCGCAGCGGTTTAGCGCCTGCCTTTGGCCCAGGGCGCGATCCTGGAGACCCGGGATCGAATCCCACGTCGGGCTCCTGGTGCATGGAGCCTGCTTCTCCCTCTGCCTGTGTCTCTGCCTCTCTCTCTCTCTCTCTCTGTGACTATCATAAATAAATAAAAATTTAAAAAAAAATTTAAACTATATGTTCAACTACCAACAAAGAAAACGGGATGATGGCAGGAAAGAACTGGTTAAGGCCCAGGAGGCCAGTAGACGTCCAGACGAGACGGAGAGGACGCTAAAAACAGGGTGTTTAGTCAAAGCGTCTTTGAGAAAGAGGGCAAACGCTACATTTTTAAAAGACTGTGCGTGCTGGTCATGGAGAAACGTAATTCCTGCACGGTCTGCCCGGGTGCGCAGAGAATCTCTCCCGAGGACGGAGAGTGGTTCACGCGTGTCCGAGGTGACAAAGCAGAGCAGCACGCCATTCCCGCGTGGGCGCCGCCGCGAGGACTCAGGCAGCGAGGCCACGAAGCCCACAGGACCAGTGTGACGCGGGGCCCGCGGCGCTGGGGGCGATGCTACGTATTAACCCAGGACCTGGTTTCTCTAACTCTTCTTACTCGCGTCTCAGAAACAACCCAGAGACCTTCAACTTGGGAAACATGATTTTACTGGAAAAAAAAAAAAACAGGACAGACACACGGTCCCTTCTAAGCCGCGTCGGCCTGGCTGGCGGCCGCAGGAAGTAGGGAGCGCGGAGGCGGCGCCCACACAGCAGGACGGGCTGGGAGGAGGCGAGGAGCAGACACAGAGCTGCGGCCTAGACACGTACCCCCCCCCCCAAGGGCCGCCCAGACCTGCCCACGCCCCTTGTCCCTTTGGATTAGTTTGCATTTTCTAGGGTTTTACATAAAAAGAATCCCGCACTAGGCACCGGGCCTCATCAGCAGGAAACACAAATTTCGGTCACATAGATTACATTTACTCTTAGGGGACTTTCCAGGGGGAAGAGAGAAAATTGCGGAGGCTTTTCTGACATCGGCATCACAGGGAAATATTACATTTTTTGACAAACATTAGAGACTTACCTTATAACCAGGAAACAGTTAGCTCTGTTGCCAACAGCAAAGTAGTCCGCTGCGGTCAAAATGTCGATTCCATGGGGGAAAGTGCCCTAATCACAGAGTCAAGAGGAAGAAGAGCACAGAAATGACACAAATGAGGGGAGGCCTTTCTAGGGGAAGCGCCGCCACACCCACACCCACACCCACACCCGCTCACGCCCACGCCCACGCCAGGCACGCTGGGGACCAACAGCACACGGCTCCCTGGCCGCCCATCTCATGCTGGACACTGCACTACTATGACATGAACCACTCAAAAATATTTAATTTTTTTTTTCAAGCAACTCAAACGTTTTCAACTTTAAAATGTTTTAAGAGACTTTCTTTACACCCACACCGTAAAAAATAAAAATAAAAAATCAGGTTTCAACAGTGAGTCCCATCTCGTTCGATGGGCGTCCCAGACACCGCGTGTCTTTCAAACAGGCTTGCAGGACCCTGCACAGGGGTGTGTCGGCGCCGCGTGTGCACTTCACGTCTGCGTGTGACATTCTGGGAATTCTCGCCAACACGCCACCACCACCCATCCTGTCGGGGAGCTTGCGTGCCCTCCCCCGAGTGTCCCTCTTTGCTTCGGCGGGTTCCCATCCTTCCTCTGCAACGTTCCCCCCGAGCCGCAGGACACTGCCGCGGGCAGGGCTGGTGCCCTGGCCCCCACCAGGCTCCACCTCCTTCAAAGTCCGTGTCTCTTAGCCAGCTGCCCGGCTCCCCGACGCCCGTGCTGCGTGCACGCTGCTCATGCGTAACATCGTGCAGGGGGGTGGGGAGGCTGAGGGGACACCCCCTGGAAGACTGGCTCCTGGCTGGTCCTCCAAACCTAGACCGTGGTTAGAGGCCTTTCCTCCCCGACGGTCCATCCAAACTGAGTGTCCCCCCACCAAATGGGACACGGGAACAGCCCAGAGCCCCGAGCACCCTGCGCCTGGGACAGGCCTGGCTCTCCCCCAGTGGCTGGAAGCCAGGGGTGGGGAGACGCCTCCTTCCCCTGGGCTCTGGGCTCTGACGCTGGGGTGTCCGGAGCCCCTCGGCTCAGCTTCCAGCGGGTTCCCTGGCTACGACGCCTGCCCACCTACCCCCTATGCTTCCAAGTTCCTTCCCGTCCAGCCCCCTCCTTGGCCCGAGCAGCACTCCTTCGGGAGCTCTCCACACTGGCGGCCCCGACACCCCAAAGCTTGTTCTCTTCGGAGGTGGGCCGTCTCTTCCTAGGGAGCCTCTATCATCTATGTGTCCAGGGCCCCCCCAGGTGGCACCAAGGACACTGGTCTCAGCCACCTTCAAGCCAGGGAAGAAAGGGAGAGACCCTGAGGAGACAGGTGCTAGAGGACGATGAAACCACCGCCGCCCTGCAGGGAGCTGGGGAAGCCAGCCTGGACGGCCGCCCGGGACCCATTCTGGGAGCACCTCCCACCAAGAACCACATGTCTCCCCTGCAGAAGCAGGTCAGCCCTCACCCTGGCCCCTGGGAGCACGACAATGGAACCAGGAGACCGTGGACCCCGCGTGCAGAAGGACCCTCACGGTGGGCACAGGGGGCGCCTGCAGGCATTCTCCTCCCAAACACCCCAACGTCAAGTCTTCCCTCGCGGAGGCCTGCCCTTCCTCAAGGGGCCCCCCTCGGGGCCTGCAGCCTGACTACTGACCCCCCAAGTCCCAGACGCCCGTCACCGTCTCCCCTTGTCCCCCACCCAGCCCCGTCTGCTGATAGCCTTGCCCACAGTGCACATCCCTCCAGCACAGTGCTTCCTGCAGGGGCTTTGACCAGAGCTCAGCTCAGTGTTCGCCCAACATGACCTGCTCCCGTCTACTCTTCCCCAGGCCAGCCACACGTCCCAGCGTGGCCACCGGCATACACGGTGTGAATGACCCGGTGACAAGGGCCACACCACCCAGCCAAGGCTGACCAGCCAGGAGAGGCTGGGGCCTGGGGGCACGACGGTGCTGGGGAGCACACGGAGAGGCCACAGGATCAGCGGCTTCCGGAAGCTGGCTCCGACACAACACAGCATGGGCAGGATCATGCCTCCGTCCCTCAGGAGCCGGGCTCCTCCCCCCACATCCCTCCCGCCCCACAGGCAACTGCTAAAATCGGGTGGCAACGCATAAGGTGCTGACCTGACGTGGGTGTGCGTGAAATCACTTACACGTTTGGGTTTCCCATAAAACAGAGCACTGTTTAAAACTTGTGCCGACTCTCCCCTGGATAACATCCCGAGTGGGTCTGTGACCAGACGGCACCGAGTCAACACAAGCTCATCCTAGGTAAATTCCGTACCCACATCCGACAGTGCGAGGAGATACCACGTCTGTAGCTTTCAGTATTTCTACTGCTAAAGCGACAGGAAGTTTTAGGAATGAAGATTTCAAGAAGTGGCCATACCTGTCTTCCCACATTCTCCTGGAAAGCGGCCTAAGGAGAAGAAGAACAAACAGAGCAGGTGAGTTAGGTTTGCACTTTGCTAAACATCAGGAGAGAAATTCAAAACAAATGCCATGCAGCACAAACGACCCATGGCTTTATTTTTTTAGATAAAAGTCTGCATTGTTAGCCGATCAGAGCGCCAAGGGTAGCTGTCATTCTGTCTCTAGGTCCTGGTGCTTTTTCAAACCACTTGATTAGTTGATTAGTTTATAAAATCAGACACATCCTGAAAAGTGCCCTTTGGAAGTGGACGCTGAGCTGCTCGCAGAAGCCGAATCCAAGGCTCCAGACAGAGGCGTGAGAACGGAGTCCAACATGGAACCCTTGTCCTGGGAACTCGGGGGCAGCAGCTCGCAACCCCACCCCACCCCACCCCCGGGGCCTGCCCCAGGGCCGTCACGGACAAGCCCCGCCGACACAGGCCCAGAGCTCCAAATATTCACTTAAACCCAATAAAGTGTCTTTAGGCGCTTACTGGACAAAGCCCGTTGACTTCCCCAGTAGTTCCCATCCCATGTCTCCACCTGCCCTGGGACGTGTGACAGCCAGGCCAGGCCGTCTGAGCGGTGACAACAGGCAGCACCTCCTTCCCGTCCGCCACCCAGCCGGTGCCCAGAGCAGCAGGGCTCAGAAACCAGGGCGGCCCCGGGGGAGCACCCTGCCGGCGAGGCGGCCCCTTCCCTGGAGCCGAGCCTCTGGGGCCGGTTCCCGCTGCACACGCAGGGCGCCGCCAGGGAGCACACGCAGGGGTGTGGAAGGGACTGGAGAACCAGAGATCGCGGGCAGGTCCCACAGAGGATCAGAACCGGGGTCGTCCCCAGGAACCAGCAGACGGGCCCTCCCGCGGCTTTCAAACCAGGAAAGAGACCCGATTTTCACTTGGTAGCATATTGAGCCTTATGCAACAAATTTATTAAAGAAATTAAGAAACCAACCAAAAGGCAACGGAAATAAGATATAATGTCGATTTACGTAACAAGCAAAATTTAGGAACATATTTACCAGTCTGATGACATCAAAAAGGCAAAAAATAAAAAAATTTTAAAAAATTAAAAAAGCAAAAAATAATACAAGATTTATGTGGAAACACAGAGCCCTGGAACAGATGCAGCAGGCTTGAAGAAGAGGGGAAGGACCGCAGGCCCCAGCACGGGTGAGGTCAGCACGTGGGCGAAGACAGGCACCGCAGGGTGCAGCACGACAGAAAAGCAGAGAACCTCACCTCTAGGACGGAGGCCAGGCCCTGAATTCTGAGAGGGGGCACCAAACCACAGCCCGCGTAAGAAAGAACTGACAAACGGGTCACACCAAACGTTAAGACTCCTGCTCTGGGGATCCCCGGTGGCTCAGCGGTTTGGCGCCCGCCTTTGGCCCAGGGCGCGATCCTGGAGACCCGGGATCGAGTCCCACGTCGAGCTCCCTGCATGGAGCCTGCTTCTCCCTCTGCCTATGTCTCTGCCTCTCTCACTCTCTCTGTGACTATCATGAATAAATAAATAAAATCTAAAAAAAAAAAAAGACTCCTGCTCTGTGCAGCACCGTGTCCTGGGGACAGAAGCCACAGCCCGGGAGCAGGGCCCGCAGGCCACGCGCCAGCGAGGGCAGCACCTCGCTTCGGGAGCAGAACCACCCACACTCGGCCCTGCACACGCCAGCCAGTGAGGAAACAGGCCAAAGGCTCCAAGAGATGGTGCGAGGAAGTGAGGCACAGAACCACAGCGAGGTGCTCGCCACCAGAGGAAGGCAACAGGACGGCGCAGGAGGCATCACCGCACCCTGATCGGACCACGTGGCAACCCCACAGAGGCTGGCAGGGCCGCGGGGGATGGGATCCCCGACAGGTGGGGGGAAGGTGCGGCAGCGAGCCTCCACACGGGGCTACACGGGCACCCACCGTCCACCTGCCACGCCACTCCCAGCGTTTGGCCAAGAAAAAGAAGTTATGTCCACGCAAAAGCCCGGACATGACTGTTCACGGCAGCTTAAATTTTTTTTTTTAAGATTTTATTTATTTACTCACGAGAGACACAGAGAGAGGCAGAGACACAGGCAGAGGGAGAAGCAGGCTCCACCCTGGGAGCCCGACGAGGGACTCGATCCTGGGACCCCAGGGTCACGCCCTGAGCTCCCGGCCCAGCCAGAGCCTGGGTGGACCCGCGGGGAACCGCCAGCCCGAAGGGTCACTTGTGGCAGGACTTCCTCCTTGCAACACGGAGCGGAAAGGCAGGCGGTAGGACCACAGGGGCTGAAGGGCCGCACACCGTTCAGCTAACTGGGCTTCAAGGAGATTCCGTGTAACTGCGATGAACCAGGCCCCCGGCCCCCGGCCCCCCCGCCCCGGCCTCCGGCCCCCCCAGCCCACTGGCCGCCCAGCCCCCGACCCCCAGCCCCCAGCGCCCGTGCCGCTGGCTCCGCTCCAACAGAGCGGCGAGCACTGAACAGCTCCGTAAGGGTGAGCGGTTGCGGATTCGCTAACATGCCAGTTACCCCGTAGGCCCCCTCCCGGCCTGCGTGAGGACCGCAGCTCGAGGCCCGGCGGGGGCAGGGGGCCCCGGGGGGCTGGCAGCGCACAGGCCCAGGCCCTCCTGACCTCGGCCAGGAGCGCCCCTTACCCCGGCACCGAGGGCGTGAAACCTGAGCACAAACAGGCGCCGGAGGGAGCACAGCAAGCCTTGGTCTGAGCTCCACAGTAAGAGAACTCCACGTTGTCACCTCCTCGGTCCCAGGTGTCCAAGCGCGCTTCCAACACGTGCCTCTCTGACCCTCAGCTTTCATTCGGAACCTGCTGGGTCGGCCGGCGTACCGGGATGACGCCCAACACAGAGAATCCCCTGCAAATTTTGAAGGATTATAGTCCTAACTTGAAAAACAAGAGGACTTCTGGGTTTTCTCACCTCTTTCTCGGGGTTTATAAAGGCATCACTGCTTTAATTTTACCACTGCTTCCCATTAAAATGCTGGCTTTACGGTAAACAAAAAAAGAAAACGTAAAAGCTACTTTCTAACCTCAGATTTCACAAAAATCATCATCGTGTTTGAAAGCGTGAATATGTTCCTGGGTGACCATCAGGGCAGAGACGTGAAGGCCCCTCATGGAGTCACGGGACTCCTACTGACGCTCCAGAAACAGAACTGCATCAACACAGAGGAAACTAGCTCTGCTGGCAAACTTCCCCTGGAGAGAAAATTCTGAAGGGCCAGAGCCCAGGACCTCCTGTGTCACACTGTCTCAGGGTGCAGAGGGCAGGCAGGCACGTCCAGGGGCAGCGGACGCTCCGCCCGAGCTCCCGCACGCGAGGCAGGGCCCACGGCCAGGCACCTGTGCTGCCGGGGACACGGGACAGCGCACGGGGGGAGCACAAGCGGCTGCACCTGACGACTCCCGACGGAGAAGTCCCTTCACTAGAAAAACACACGGGCTGAGGGAAGTGAGTTAGGAACGTGCTTGCGAAGAAACAAAACAGGCCCGGATGGGTTCACCGGTGATTCCCAGCAAACATTTAAAGTAGAAACAAACTAAGAGCCAGCTTTATTTTTAGAGACTTTATTCATTTAAGAGAGCAAGTAGGGCAGCCCGGGGGGCTCAGCGGTTCAGCGCCGCCTTCAGCCCGGGGCGTGATCCTAGGGTCCTGGGATCGAGTCCCACGTCGGGCTCCCTGCATGGAGCCTGCTTCTCCCTCTGCCTGTGTCTCTGCCTCTCTCTGTGTCTCTCATGAAGAAATAAATAAAATTAAATTAAATTAAAAAAGAGAGAGCAAGCAAGAGCAAGTGAGCGAGAGCAAGTGAGCTCCATCCCAGGACCCCAGGGTCATGACCTGAGCCACTCAGAGCAATCTTTTAAGACTTCTACAAAATACAAGAGGTAGAAACACAATTCCCTCCGTGGGGCCACATTACCCTGATTCCAAAGCCACACAGAAACGTCCCTTACAAACAGACTCAAAACTCCGGCAAACTGTGTGCAGCAGCACGTGAAAGAGGACAGGACAAGTGGGATTTCTCCTGGGAATGCAAGGTTGGCTCAATACCTGCAAAACCGATGAGCAGGACACAACACATTGACAGAAAAAAAGCACAAAATCACACGAGCATCTCACAATCAAACATCCACTCGGGATGTAATCAAACAACACAAAACCCTTCACAACAAGCCAGCAGAACCTCTCGACCTGCTAGAGCCTGTTTACAAAGGCTTTTCCAGTTGACAGCGAAAGCCGGCACATCCCCGGACGGACGCCAAGGCGGCCCCCGCGGCCCCCACGTCGGCTCAGCACGGTGCCTGCCCCCCTGCACCAGCACACTTAGGCAAGAAAAAGAAATAAAAGGCATCAAGACTGGAAAGGAAACGGTAAACTCTTCTTCAACTTTTCTTTTCCTCACAGATGACAAGATCCTGCACGCAGAGCCGTAAGGAGCCCACACGCACCAGGAGTGAGGTGAAGGCCCTGCCGTGCCCCACTGACCACCCCACCGTGGAGCCGCCAGCCCCACAGGAACCGCAAGGAAACACCCAGGAACTGGGTCCCCCAGGCCCGCAGGTGGTGCCAGGGGCCCTAGGAAGCACGGCCTTGAAAACAGACCCCCGGGCGTGGGAACAGAAGACACAGCCACGGCCGAGTTCCCCTCTCAGGGACTGGGCACATGGGTCCCTCACCTGGGTGGTCCCACCCCTGCCCCACCTGCGCCAGGTACTTCCCTGGCTCCCAGCCACTCCAGCCTGCACCGTCCCAGCTTGAGTGTGACACGAACAATCCCCAAACGTGTCCCCAGAGCAGGTGGGAGCAGGCCCAGCACGACACGGATCCTCCAAATCCCACATTCCCAGCAGACCCTCACCTGCCGAAGGCCGTCTGAGCGCACCTAGGTGTCCTGGCATCGAGTGGTAGCTGTCACCTCTGACCCAGCCTGACCCAAGGGGAGCTGCTGGCCTGCGCCCTCTCTCACCAGTCAGTCTCCTCCGCGGCCACACTGGGTGCTTGCTCTCAGTCCTTCTAGCAGACACCCCCTGCTCCTCCTCTGTCTCACCAACTCCCACGGGCTCCAGCTGGACCAGGTCGAGGGGCACAGATGCCTCGTCCGCCCTCCCTCCAGCACCTGGAAGCATGGCTGCTGCCCGTGGGGGACCTAGAATCAGCTTCAGCCCCCAAGTGTGTGGGCAGAGCCATCTGGAGCAAGGCCCTCCTAGGCTCACCATCCTGTTCTCTGTCCCACCTCTGGGCCGGGAAGACCTGGCTCCCCGTGGTGTGGAAGGGGCCCCCAGGGCAAGGCGGGCAGCTCTCCCCACGCCCCAGCTCAGGGCCGCCAATCCACCCAGAGGACACACTCAGGTCCCCTATGACACAGGGCTCACTGAATCCCTCCCAGGCCCCCGCGCCTCTCAGGCCAGACCCTCCTCCTGCAAAGACCGGAGCTCATCCAGGACCAGGGCCCTCCTGGCTTCACCCCCTGGTCTCCCCCATAGTCCTCAGAGCACGGCCTTTCTGCCCATGTCCATCCCCCCCTTCCTGACACGGAGGCCCCTCCACCACCAGGCTCGGCAGCTGAAGGTACGCCTGGTCCCACAGCAGCCCACGTGTGAGCCTGACCTATGCGACTGACCAACAGCAACACAGCCCTGTGTGCGGCCGGGACACAGCCATGGACACCACCAGCAAGTGTGCCACGGACACGACCTGGCAGCCGTCGGTCGTGTCTGCCAGCATCTGCAGGAACCCCCGAAGCAGAGCTCGGGGCCACAGCCCAGCTCTGGGGAGGAGCAGCGGGACGTCGTGCAGACTCCCGGTCAGTGCCCCTCGAAGCAACGGCGCAGCCTCCTGAGAGCTCTTCGCACACAGAATCCGCCCGAGCATGACCAGGCCCGGGGGAGACACTGGTGTTTGAACGCAGGAAGGCCCGCTGGGGCCTCCAGGCACGTCGGCGAGGCCCCAGGCCCAGCACGCCCGCGTGGGGCTGAGCGGACCTCTGCTTGGCAACACGCTTCCTGAAGCTCCGAGGCACCTGCCCCGCTGTCACGTTCGGGTCACACAGCCGGAACCCGCGGTCTTCTCCTTGAGCCTGGTCGTCAGGCACTGTCCCGTCACCCACGACACTCAGATGGTGGCACTTCTCGGCTGGCGGTGCCGCATGTAATCCCGACCCGCCTCACAGGTTAAAGGGCAGCCCCTTCTCCCGGAAACTGGGAGGAGGCGTGCACTGGCGCTGCGCCCGTGGCTGCCCGGGCACCGCACCCGGCAGCGAGCAGGAGTGCGCGGCCTGCTGAGCAGAGAAGGGCACGGTCCGGACCCGCCCACACCGTCAAGCAAAGGAACAAAACAGGAAAACTCACAGAGGCTGCTCTCCTGCAGTTTATGTTTCGGTCAAACACTGTGGCAATCACCAGGGCGCTGTAAAAAGAGAGGAAAATATTTAAAAGGAAGTCTGTAAAAGGACACAGACCCTGCCGCATGACTGGGGAGCCAGCGTCTGCTCAGCGTCCCCGCGCAGCGAGCTCCCAGCACCCCGGGGCCTGCCCCCGGTCACCTGAGTGCCAGCGAGGTCACAGGGAGGACACCCGCCGTACACAGGGGCCTCGGAGAGAACGTGCTCAGCCCGGGGGGGGGGGGGGGCAACAGGCAGGGCTGGCATGGACACGGACACAGACCTCAGCCCCCAGACCCCAAGATGCACGGTGACACGGGGCGTGCGCGGGCAGCCGGGGACACCTAGGCCCTCCGCCTTCTCGGAAACCCAACCAAGTGCAAAACACAGCTATCGGGGGGACGCCAAGTCCTCCAGATGCCATGCCCACCCCACCAACCACAACCACCTCGGCGAAAAGGAAGCCTCTCCCGGCTCATAACATTCATCAGACTTCGCTTAAGCCCCTCTGCGTGAGATCATCGCACTTAATTATCACTGATAAAGCAGAAAGCACTCATTTGACTCTGTGTGGCTTTATTAACAGAAAACAAGGGATTTGGGCAGAGGGGAGACGGCGCTGTTTCTAAGGATGACTCGAGAACCTGCAGCTCCCATCGGCCCGGAGAAAATGCCCTTAGAAAGGGGTATTTCGGACACACGGAGGCCACTTCCCAGCAACACGGCCCGTCAGCTGGGGCCTGACACGACCCACTCCTATTTCTACATCTCAGTCCTCTTCCTCCTCCAAATACGTGGGTCGTCCCATCGGCACATCCACAGTTCCCGCTCGCCAGCCTAGACAGCGACCCGTGGGCCCGACAATCCCTCCGGCTGCCCTACGTCCGTTGGTGCCCCCCGCGCAGCTGTCGGGGTGCTGGGCCCCGCACCGTGCACCTGCCCCCCCGGCCGGCAGCAAGCAGTGCGGGAGGCAGGTGCCGCCGGGGGGGCTGCCCCTCATCACAGGGGCCCGAGGGACGGCCGCAGGCCCGGGCAGCCTCCGGAAGCCGGCGGGGGCCGCGTTCTCCTGGAGCCTCCGGGGGACCCGCCCGGCCCACTCCCCGGTCCTAGCCCACGGAGGCCCACATCCGACGAGCGACCCCCGCCCCGCTCCGAGAAACCCCCCCACTAGGAGGGCCCAGCGGGCAGCGCCAATCACGGGGACCAGGCGAAGCTACGCGCAGTCCGCCACACGGAAGAAGCGCGTCGGGTGTGTCTCTACAGACCTTCCAGAATCGGCAACACCAGGGCCCGGAACCAGTCTGGTGGTGGCCAGGGGTCGGGGCGGCTGACGACCAAAGGCAGGATGGGGGACTCGGGAAGACGCAGCCACGGTTTGGAACTGTACCTGTCGCAGCCAACTCGGAGTCTGCCAAACCCCGAACGGTACACGGCGGGAGGGAACCTGAGTGCCGCCACGGAAACGAGCCACTAGAAGGGGGATCCCGACGGCCACGGGAACGCGCCTGCCTTACGCAGCAGCATGCAGAGGGCCAGCCGGGGCCCTGGACAGGGCAGTGCTCCTCCCAGGCTGGGGTCTAGCGGCTCGTGGCCCCGCACACAGCGGAGGACTCGCGCAGGGAGCCCGAGAGCCAGGGGGCAGCCAGGTGGGCGGGGGGCCGGCCGGCATCGCAGCGTCCACACGGACACGGGCACTTCGGCCGGAGGCGCCCGGGCTGGTGCCTCTGTACTGGATGGACTGAGCAGGGTCCAGGGCTCTGATCTCAGCACGAACCCCGGAAGCAGCTGACCTCAGGGCTGGGGCAAAGGAACAAAATACCAGTCTGGAGAATCTCGTCACCCTAGAAAACGGAAAAATATCTAAAGACATAAAATTCTGAATCCCGCTGAAAGGACACAGCAGCCAACATGAAACCACTGCCACGGCCAAAGGCAGAGCCATCTGAGCGGCACAACCAGCAAGCGTCAGACGACGGGCCCGAGCGTAAATGATCCTGCCCGCGTCCAGACATCAGCAGACGACGCGTGGGTAGAAAGGGGACAGGGAACCCCCTTTCCTTACGGGAGGAGAGCTGAGAGAGCCGCTGCCGGCCACCGCGCGCCTCCGCAGGCAAGACCCACAGACGGGCAGACGGGTGCCCTCGGCGGCGGCCAGAGCGGGGACAGACAGGGACACGCAGCAGCACAGAGGGAGGCCAGGGACCGAGGGCAGCCTCCCCGACGCGGGGTCTGGGGTGGGCCCTGTGGCCCTTTCCTGCGGCGGGCGGCTGGGGAAGGGCCCACGGGAGCCTCTCCTACTCTTCTAAAAACTCTAAGTCTCAAGTTGCTTCAGAATTAAAATTGTGAAAAGTAACTACACCTCCGAAGATTGCAGCGTCTGGGGTCCTTTCACCGGTGAAGCTAAAAATAAATTTGCCAAAACTCTTACCAGAGCTTATTCCCTTTCTCCTCTATACTCCTGCCCACAAACTACACCCAAAATGAGATTTAAAGAATACTCAGCTTAAAAGTGAAGAAAAGTCACCTCCTCCTTCACCTACTGGCTTCTGTTAATATTAGAAATATAAAGGTGATGGCGATGTGTTCATGTCATGTCTCAGTAACTAAAAATTACACGACTGCCATTCTTTGGTTTAAGATTTTATTTATTCATGAGAGACACAGAGACAGAGAGAGAAGCAGAGACACAGGCAGAGGGAGAAGCAGGCTCCATGCAGGGAGCCCGACGCGGGACTCGATCTCGGACCCCGGGTCACGCCCTGGGCCGAAGGCGGCGCCCAGCCGCTGAGCCCCAGCCGCTGAGCCCCCCGGGCCGCCCTACATGACCACTGTTCTTAATGAAAACACGTGCGGTATGTGTCAACATATTCTCAGAATTAACGGAAATTTCGCCACCACGTGTATGTTCAACAAGAGCTGCTTGTCGTAATCCGTAAGATCGTAACCATTCTAGGAAAAGATATTGACCAAGAATTTCCGCTTTAAAATCTGACCCAAGAAAAATGCAGACTTCCAACTGCACCGGCTCTGGGTCCAGCCGACACCATCAAAAGTCTGTATTTTATATTGAGTTCTTGAAATTTCCTGTCAATGTATTTGTCCTAAACCATAACTTTTAAGTTCTGGAAGACTGAGCAGAGAAACGAACAAATGTAGAGAAGATGCAGGAAACCGCCCAGGAGCTGCCCGGGACGCCCTGGGAGGGGCTACACGTCCTGGGTCCATCTCACCCACTCGGGCTGCCACCGGGTGCGGGCGTGCTGGCTGTGGCGGGCTGAGTCCACTTCCAGCCAGGCACCCTGGTGCGGCCGAGGCCACTAAGACACCTCGCGGTTTCTCTTCGTGGCCGCCCAGAGCGGCCGCCAAGCGGTGAGCGTCCTCCCAAGGCCAGCCCGGTGGAGAACCTGCTCTACGGGGCCGGCGGGCAAGGGCCCACGCGAGGACGGCTTAGCTTCGAGTCTTCGAGCTCCTGCTGCGACCGAGCCCAAGTACTCACAGTGAGCGAAGGTGCTTCTACTTTGCCACGTGTGTCAGCTGCTTCCTTTCCTCCCAGCCACCCCCTAAAAGCACAGCGGGGAGCCGCTCGGGGGGCGGGGGTCCCACACAGTTACTGAGGGCCCCTTGCCTCACAGGAGCCCAGAAGGTTCTATCCCTAAGTAACCCCGGGACCCCAGGCAGAACTGTGTGTGGCACATGGTGCCCAGCTTGAGGCATGAGGTCCCCCGTGTCCAGGAGGGAGGAAGGAAGAAGGATGGATGAAAGGAAGGGAGAGAAGGGGGAGGGAAGGAGGGGGGAGGGAGGGGGCCTCCCCCAAGCCGGCCTCCGCGAGGCTGTGTTGGCTGCAGCCCGGGACCCTGACCGCAGGGCCTCGCGCACGGCCTCGGCCCCAGGCCTTCTGCACTCACAGGTAAATGGCTGAAAATACTGTTTCATCAATATTTTACCAAACTTAACAAAATAGAACACGCACGACAACACCCCCTTGAAAACACAGCGTTTAGCCAAGTACAGACTCCGGGGTGAGTTCAAGAAGTCAACTGTGTGGGTACCTGTGTATGTAACCGGTTCCTTAATCTGTTCAGATTAAATTTCTAAACTGCTCTAATTTCACGTTTTCAGAATGAAACTGGCTTATCTGAAATACTAGCGTGTTTCAAGCAAACACAGGTCTGATAACAGCGGCCCAACACAGTGATGGAAGCTCCCGCAGGCCCGAGGCCCCTTCTCCCGAGCGGGACGCGGCCGAGCGCCTGAGTCACCAGACCTCCATCCACGCGGAGAGGGGAGAAGGTGGCCCCAGGCCAGCCGCACACGCTGCCCGCGGGCCCCGGTCGGGCTGGAACGCGTCTCTGGCGTCTTCACCTGTTTGCTTTCGCTGGAGGAGCTTATGCGATACTTCACCAGGATTTCCCAACACAGAGAAATGGTCCGTGTCAAACAGAAAGGGACTTTCTTTCTCGTCCGCACCAGGGGGAAGCTGCACGCCTCTACCTGCCCTGAGCCCCAGGCACCTGGTTTCCAGCAGGCACAGCAAGGAGCAGATCTCATCCCAAACTCAATTCTGCTCGCCTGTAGAAGGTTTACCTCACTCTCACACTCACACTCTCACACACACGCACACACACACACACACACACAATGGGCAAAATACACTGGTTTTACCCTAAGTAGCATTCACCCCGTCGTGAAGTAAAGGAACTTCTTAGAGAAGCAGCAGGCGATCGTCTGCTATCCATCCACGCGGTTTTAAAGGGCAAACCACATCGCCGTTTTTGAGTGAAACACAGGACCTGCCCGTGACTTCGTCCCCCGCGTCCTAAGAAGCAAAGCTCCCCCCGTTTAACACGGTGGCAAAACACCCGAGACTTCTCAGGCGCCTTCATGTCCCAGCAGAGCCGGAGCGGAGGCCGAGCGGCCGAGCGGCCGAGCGGCAGAGCGAGGTTACCAGGCGGGGACAGGGGAGCGAGCGACAGGGGAGCGCTCTGGTCGCCAACCACCATTTAACTACTTCTTGAAGAACAAAAGGGTTATCTTCCCTCTGGAAGTCTGCCATTAAGAAACGCTGAGTGAGAACAAGACGTAGCTTTGAGCAATGCTTGCCATTTCCTGATTTTTCAGGACAATCTTGCCCTCGAGGAAGAGATCTGGGACTCTCCATCCCCAGGCCCTGCCCACGCTGCAAGCTGCCGGCTGGGCTGGCTCCGCGGGCTGAGTGGGCGCTGCCCGGCGCGGGAGGGCCCTGCGGCGCTGATGTCAACAGGGGCTTGGCTTACAAAAGAGTTTCAGGTGAGGAAATCACCGCAAGGTGACAACAACACGCAGGCTGGCAACAGCCGGCTCCTTTTTCTTTTTCTTCTTGCAAATTAGCTTTTGATTACCGGTGAGAAGGTATCCCATGGCCGGCGCAGGGCCATCCGGGGCCATTTTAACCTTGTGCTTCAGTGTTCCTAAATTACAAGCGGCCTTCCAGGTAGGCCTGTTTACTTTTCCACAAAATAATTATTTGGTCTCTTAATCAGTGTGTAATGCTTAATAGGAGTTTTTAAAGCTAACCAATTTCAAAGCACGATTGAATCCAGCTAGACCCCTGGTTTCTGGCATTTGTGAGACACGGAGGGTGAGTGCACGCCCACCAGGAGGCTCAGCTCCTCCGCCCTCCCCGGGGTCCCTCTCCCGGGCACCTGCCAGGCCCCCCTCACTGTGACCACCACCCTGTTCCCCTCACCGGGCGTCTCTACTTCACGCCACAATGACATTCTCCTCTCGTCCACTTCTGCAGGATCCACTGGAGAGTTTGTGAAAGTACAATTAACGATAGCACGGTTTTATCGTGAGCCAGGATTAATGGGTTTAAAAGCCGACAATTAAAATGTGGTCACTTATTACATGCCGAGGGAGGCAGGTCTCGAAGCACACACCCCAACCGATACTCCTGGGGCAGGGAGGCGCGCGCCCGCAGCGTCCGCCAGGCTCCCTGGCTTCGTGACTCACCTCCCAGCCCGCCCGCCCGCCCGCCCCCGGATGCCCGCAGCCCAGATGGACGGGAAGAGCTGGAGCACAGGTTCCCTCAGAACCTGCCAAACTGGCCCGAAACCTGCTGGGCACGGCTCCCAAGGGCACTGGGTGATCCCACCCTGGGACGGGCGCCGGACAGGGGACAAGAGGGGCCTTTCCACACAGACTCCCAGGTAACTCAGGAGAAATCCGGAGTCTCCAGACCCCCTGCTAGCTACTGGCCCCCATGTGTGCGATCCCAGGGACGAGAGAACCCACCCTCCCAGAGATGGAAGGGAGCCAGGGAGCCGGGGAGTTTCTGCGGACACTGGACTCTGCCCGTCACTGCCGTCTGGTCCCTCATGCTCGGTCACTCGCTCACAACCAGTCCCAGCTCAGGAAGGCCGGGGTTCCAACACCCCCTTGATGCCCTCCCAACACGTCCCAGACACACCGTGGGGCCTGCAAGACCCCCCAGGACCCCCACAGAACGGGCTCGGCTGTACCTCCTCTGCAACAACCGCTGCAAAGACAAGTTCGGTCCACCGCGGGCAGTCGGGTCCAGGCAGACTGCGCGGTGCGCCCACTGGTCCCTTCCAAGCCCTCCCGCCAAGCGCCACCGACCAGGAGGGGAGTCGAGAGACTGGGACCCTCTCGGGTGCAGAGCCAGCTCACCGGGCCCCAAGCCACTCTTTCCTTTCCTGAGTAACAGATGGTGACCCTGGCGTCAGATGTGCCGGTGCCCCTCAGCCCCCAAAGCTCGGCTCCCCTTCGTGTGGGACACACACGCTGCAGAGAAGAGCTCACGACGGCTGCGCAGGCCGCCAGCAGGCCGGTCCAAGCGTCCAGGGGCCTGCAACCTGCCCAGGCCTGGGACCCACAGACTCAGCCGACCCCCGACCCCCACACCCACGCCACACGGGAGGCCAGGCTTAACGTTCATCGACATCTTTCTGTTCACTGATACTTCGCTTTATAAAACCAGGGACCAGTGAGCAACAATAAGCTCTGAAGTCGCAGAAAGCAGACCTGCCTGTGGCTAAACGAACCCCCTTCCCAGAGCCAGAGCCCTGGGCCCGCACACATCAGCGGGAGCGTCAGGGTTAGGGCCCCGTGGTGCTGGAAGCAGCTTTCCCCAGGAACAGAACAGTGTGCGTGACGGCCCCCGCCCTTCTGTGTGGCTCTGGACGCGCAGGCTCCTGCCCTCCGGGGGAGCACCCCCCCCCACTCCGGTCCCTCTTCCTTGGCAACCATTCAACCCTGGGCCCTGCTTCTCCCATCTGGAGAAAGGAGGGACACGGATTCCTATGAAGCTTACAGCTCTCAGACGCGTTAAACTGCAAAACGAATGTGTCAGGACCCTCGCTCCGAGGCGGGAGGAGCGCGCCCAGAAGGAGCCAGAGCCCAGAAGCGGTCGGTGGGTGCGGGCTACAGGCCGCCGGGACCTCCCAGCAGAGGCAGGCCGCGCCGGCTGCCGAGCAGGGCCTGGGTGTCTGCCTGCGGCACGGGCCTGACCTGGCGCCCACCTGCCGCACACTTGGGCAAGCGTCCCGAGCACCGTCCCTTGCTCGTCCTCAAGGGAACGGGGAGAGCCACAGCCCCTAGCCACAGCCCCTACCCACAGCTCACGGCGCGAGACACACCAACCCAACGAGTCTGACTGTCCTGGGACTGATGTCAACAGTAAGTACGTCTTCTGCTTTTACTCTCTAGTTACAGAAGCAACTTCCAAAAAGTTGAGGGGCAGGACAGAAAAGCAGCCAGCAGTGCCCCGCCTCAAGCTGACTGACGGTGCAGCAGGGACAAGACACGGCAGGACCAGGGAGCCGGGGGAGGGCGCTCAGGAGCCTCGGCTCCGGGCAAGGGAGGCTGCAGCCCTCCTCCGCCCCCTGGGCCTGCGTGGCCCCGGGCCACCCCGCACAGCACTGTGCCTCCCCAGACCACCGCCCTCCTGCTCCGCCCGCACCTCCTCGGGTGGGGCGGGCGGCCGGGAGGAGCCAGGCCTCTTTATGACTTCCTCCGAAGCACTCTATCTCCTTCCACGGGGATCAGAATCCTCAGGCTCCTCTGGAAGCTTTCCTTTGATGTGGGAGTCAAGATGGAGCGATACGGGCCCTGGCCACACGTCACAGGCCGTAACCAGGCCCGAGGCCCCTCTCCCGGCCCTCAAATCCTGGGGATGTGGGGCACCTGGGACAACAGAGCGATGCTCCAGTCCCCAAGCCCTGCGCCCACAGGGAGGGGCACGGCAGCCGACACCCTGGCTGTGCCGGGCCAGGAGCTCCTGCAGGCGTCGAGGACACCGGAGGCAGAGGGCCCAGCTTCCAGGCGTGACACGGGCAGGGTCTCCCGCAGACCACAGGGTGGCAGGTCCTCAGAGCCGTGGGAGGCAGCTGCCACGGCCTGAACACCATTCTGAAATCCGCTCCCTAGTAAAAGTTGTCAGGTAAGTATGACTAACCAGACAGCGTGCTCAGGGCCCCGCCCCTGGTGACTTAAACCACAAGAAGTAGAGACCCGACATTCTTCAAATCAAGGAAACTTACTTTAGTTCAAAGACAGAGCAACAAATCACGGGACAAAAATTAACTCAAAAATCCAGTCTACTGGGAACATGTCTCTCTTGCACTTTTCTCAAGCAAAAAACTATCAGATCCTAAAAGTGGGGCATGACGTCACAGGGGTGCAGGCGCCTTCGGGAGGTTCGGCTGGACACACACAGCAGACGCCCAAGGGCCAGGGGCCTGGACGTGCAGTAGGAGCCCAGCGGGCTGCAGTCCACACAGGGTCCTGATGGGGTCACGAGCCTGCCGGTTTCAGTTCTTAGACCAGAAAACCAGAGATATTCTATTGTTCCTGCCTCACAAACCTGTTCCCCAGTGTGGACTTTGGTTTCAAGGGCTCTGATGATGAAGCACGGTAAGAAACGTGGCCTCGAGTAAATTCCGGGGGCATGCCCATGACAATTAGAACATTAAGGCTGGACAAAATGCAGCCCCCTCAACAAAAGCAGCTTCGTTCTCCTGCACCCCCGAGCCGTCCCCAGGAGCTCCTTCCACGGTGGAGGCCGTGACCGTGAAGCCCCAGGTTCTCTCTCAGCCCAACACACACGCACACTCAGAAGCACACCTCACCTGAGTCACGAGCTCCCCGCCTGTGCTCCCTCCACACCACCCCAAACGCCGACCTTCATCTGCGGATCTGCGAGCCACAGGCCACCCACAGCCTCCAGAACATTCCTCCTAGACACTCTGGCTTGAACTGCTTACCCACAAAAGAAGAACTCCATTCTTGAGCTGCTTCATTTCTAATTTTTTTTTTTTTTTTTTTTTTTTTTTTTTTTTTTTACGATAGTCACACAGAGAGAGAGAGAGAGGCAGAGACACAGGCAGAGGGAGAAGCAGGCTCCATGCACCGGGAGCCCGACGTGGGATTCAATCCCGGGTCTCCAGGATCGCGCCCTGGGCCAAAGGCAGGCGCCAAACCGCTGCGCCACCCAGGGATCCCGAGCTGCTTCATTTCTAGAGCTCACCCTTAAAATTATATTATTAGCACATTAATACCTCCTACTTATGGGAAAGGCACCACACTAGCTGCTTCCGATGCACACTGTCGTCAGGAGGACGTGACCTCAGGGACATCCGCAGGGACGCACCTGATCCCGCCACAACTCTGGTGGACTTTACCTGGAAATGGCGGCCACGAAGGGCTGCAGCTCCCGGGGCTCGTAGGCACGTGCAAAGGCCCAGCACACATAGCAGGCGGCGTCTCTAACGTTGGTGCCCACGCTGCAGGAGCCCCGCTTCTCCTCATAGGTCAGCGCCTTCAGGATCACGGGAACAACTGGGCACAAGAGACAAAGACTGTGAGTACGGGGCAGCAGCACGCCTGCCGCCTCCCTGGCGCCAGAGGCAGGTGCAGTCCACCCCAAAGCCACCCGGTCAGAAAGCAAGCACCTGGAAGGAAAAGAGGAGTCGGCCGGCTCGAATCAGGTGGAGACTTTTTTAAGAAGCTGCCCCCAAATCACATAAACAAGAGAAAATGGGTTCAGAATGGCCTGGAGATGCCTGGGTTCTGCTGGCCACGGGGACCGCAGAAGGGAGCCCACTTCTCCTTCTGGCCAGAAGCCAGCCGCCGATGAGCAACCTTGAGGAGGACCCCGAGGTGCAGGGGCCTTCCAGCGCTCAGTTTCAGAATCGAGGACCCGGATAATGAAGCAAATCAAGCCCAAGGCTACTTCTATGTTAACTTTAGAAATAACCAAGATACATTTAATTACCTAGAATACCTGTAATATATGAATTTAAGTCCATAACAGATTATCCTGCTGGTTCCATTTGCAAATGTAATTTAATACTGGACATGTGATTTCTGATTTAAAGATATCAGAGAATTTTAAGATCCATGGTAAGGATACTGGAACGTTTCAAGGAGCTAAAATGTTAGTGTATTTATCTGTTAAGTTCGTTAGATTCATGTATTTCGAGTACTTGGGAAGAATTTCCTTATTAAGACATGTACACTACTTCAAAGATACATAAAATATGTTGCATTTGTGTGTAGCACTTAAAAATACGAGAATTAAATGTTGTAAGTTTTTTTAAAGATAATAGGCTTTATTTTATTTTTTTAATTTTATTTATTTATTCATGAGAGACACAGAAAGAGGCAGAGCCACAGGCAGAGGGAGAAGCAGGCTCCCTGCGGGGAGGTTGATGTGGGACTTGATCCCAGGACCCTGGATCATGCCCTGGGCTGGAGGCAGACGCTCTACTGCTGAGCCCTAAATAGGATTTTCTGAAAGATCCTGCTGTAAATCCCAATTTACTGATCCAAAATCAACAACGATGCTGCCGTAAAGCCCACTGACAGCTCACCCCGTGTTTAGACAGCATTACAAGTAGAAACCAGAGAGTATCTGCTCTCCGAGGTGAGTGAGCTCGCATCCCTGCTCCGAGGCCCTGGTGGCGCTTGTCATAACCACGTCCAGTGCAGGTCAGACCCCAGCCCACGCCCTGAGGGGTCATCAGCTGCGGAGGCCCTGACGACCACATCACTGTCTGTACACGGTCAGAGCCTCCTGTTCCGGCGGCCTCACATCCCAGGCCACACGTCGTTGACACAGAAGCCTCCGGTGCCGGGGCAGGTGCTCGCTGCAGACGACCATCACGCATCGTCCCGTCAACCAGTGTGGGACACGATCACTGACAGCACAGGATAGAAGCTAAAAGGCAGCGCCCCGTGTGATCCAAAAGGCAGGACAGAAGGGACCAGCCTCAGCCCCTCGCGCACGTGTGTGCCCGGGCCTGCCCAGGACCCCGGCACTGTCAAGAGCACCTCGCGGTGCACCTCACGCCATCCTGTTTGACAAGACCAACGAGGTTACATGTACACAATGCTCCAGGTAGGAGTTTAAGAAAAATGAAGCAGAAAAAAAAAAAAAAAAAAAAAAAAACAAAGAAAAGAAAAAGAAAAATGAAGCAATTATCTGAACATGCAACTATCATCCCAGAAATTATCTTCCAGAAAAATGTACCTAGAAAGAGCCTTGGGCAAAAAAAATCAAAAGAAACAACAGTAGGACTGTGACTATCAGACATATTTCATCTCTGCTTTTCTGTATCTAAGGATGTTTGATTCTTTTTTTCTTTTCTTTTTTCTTTTTTTTTTTTTAAGATTTTTATTTAGGGCAGCCCCGGTGGCTCAGCGGTTTAGCGCTGCCTTCAGTCCAGTCCAGGATCGAGTCCCACGTCGGGCTCCCTGCAGGGAGCTGCTTCCCCGTCTGCCTGTGTCTGTCTTTCTCTTTCTCTCTGTGTTTCTCAAAAAAAAATAAAAATAAAAAATAAAGATTTTATTTATTCATGAGAGAGAAAGAGAAGGAGAGACACAGGCAGAGGGAGAAGCAGGCCCCATGCAGGGAGCCCGACGTGGGACTCGATCCCAGGACCCAGGATCACGTCCTGGGCTGAAGGCGGTGCTAAACTGCTGAGCCACTGGGGCTGCCCAGGATGTCTGATTCTATATAAATAACAAGAAATAGATTTGATTCTGTGCACTTTTTATATAGACTAGTGATCATTTTTAATTCAATTATAAAACATTAACATAAGTTTACTTAAAATTATGTAAGTATACTCCAAAATAAATTACTGACAAGTAAAAAGCTCAAAGACACGGTGTTGGGATCCCTGGGTGGCTCAGCGGTTTGGCGCCTGCCTTTGGCCCAGGGCATGATCCTGGGGTCCCGGGATCGAGTCCCACGTCAGACTCCCTGCATGGAGCCTGCTCCTCCCTCTGCCTCAGTCTCTCTGTCTCTCTGTGTGTGTCTCTCTCATGAATAAATAAATAAAACCTTAAAAAAAAAAAAAAGACACGGCATTACCACTTATGTCTATCTCAGCCAGGAGAGAGGATGGGACCAGCCCAGGGCACCTGCACCCACCGCCCCAGGAGCACAGGCCACCAGGGACCCCAAACCTGGGGTCCACTCTCTTGCCAAGTTCTCGTTTCCTCAGCTGAGCGACAGCAGGACAGCCCATATGAGACGAGCCCCTCAAATTCCTCAACCACCGAAACTGGGCCAGTCCCCCTCCCCCGGTGTCCCACTACAGCCAGAGCCCCACACGTGTTTTCTGGAGCCCGGGTGAGGGCCCGGCGGCCATCCCAAGGAGCCTTCCTCGCCTCCCCGAGGAGCTGAGGCCAGCTGCCCAGCAGCCCCGCCGAGCCGCGTTCTTACCCAGCCCCTCCCTTAAGGCTGCACCACCGCCCCTCTCAGGCGACGTACTTGGCAGAGCAGCCTGCCCACGAGGCTCCCGGGCTCCCTCCAGAGAGGCCCCAGCACCCCAAGCCTGCGTCTCTAGGCCGCCCCGAGCGCCGCCTCTCCTTCCTGCAAAGGCCCTGGAGCCTTCTCCATGCCACGCAGTCTGCGGAGCAGGCTCTGCTTCCACCAGTCAGGACACCAGGAACTAAGCTCAGTTTTCTGAAGGAACAGCCGTCGGTCCTCGGGAAGCCTGACGAGGGTCACCATGATGACCCACGGAGCACGCACGAGTGCCAAACCAACGCGAGGACGCCAACGAGGCTGCTGCAGACAAAGCAGCTACAGCCAATTAGTGAGTTTTAAATCATGATCTCAACTTGAACTAGACCAACTCTTAAGGCTTAAAACTGGTGTTCAGCAGTTCTACCTGGAGGAAGGCCGGGTCACCTGAGCTGCTGCTAGTGCCCTGCGTCGCTCACAGGCACTGTCCACGCTGACAGGACAGCCCAGTCGGCCCGATGGACGTCAAAACTAATAGGCTGTGGCACCTTCAGGAGGAAAGCAGCATATGAACGCGGTTCCGCTGCCACACCAGGTCCCTGAGACCGTCACTGCAACTCAGCCACCCGGACAGCTCTGGGTAAGACCGTTCAGCGATTCTATAGCCCGAGGGGCATCTGGATGCTAAGCACCGAGTCCCAATTTACCGGTTCGCTGGACAAAATCAATTTCAGGACAGACGAGTAAGAGTGACAGTGGCCAGTGCTGTGGATGTGGATTCACGGAGGCGCCACAGCCTCTGCCACGCTCAGGACCGCTCGGTGCCACCTGCCAGCAGCCCGCCTCCACACGGACACGGCCCCCACCCCAGGCCCGCTCGGCCTGGAGGCTGGCCCCGCCACACCCCGGGGCCTCACGCCGCGTCGGGGAGCCCAGCAGTCTGTCTCCCAAAGTGTCACTTTGCGGGCCCGTGAGGTCAGCCGGTCGTGCTGGTCTGCGCTCCACTCGCCGTCTCCACCAGAACTTGCACACAGACCTCGTCGCGCTCTGACCAACGGCGCTGGGCAGATAGATCGCCAGCCTGGGCAGCAGGTCCAACGTTGGCCCACCCGGCCCGCTCTGCCTCCAGGGGCGGTAAGGCTCAGCCCCACACGGCAGGGGTGACAGCAGCGGGCCACGGTGGCCTCCCCCACACACGGGGCTGCCTGGCTATCCCCGGCGCCCGCACGTGCCCGCGTGCCGGGTCTGACGACGTCCTCCCCAGAAACGGGTCAGAGGAGCAGAGGCCCACGCTGCCCGGGCTCCGAGGGGCCTCCCACCAGCCGCGCCACCCACGTGGCCGCACGGCCCTGCTCCGCCCAAGTCCCGCAGCACAGATGCCCCTGAAGTCCTGCTCTGTCCTACTCAGGAGCCTGACAGCCCCACCCGGACGCCGGCCACAGGCATCCGCGGTGCAGGTGACAGGGGCGGCTGGCAACCGGCAAGGGCCTCACTGGACAGGGTCCACGCAGAGGGCAGCGGGGACGCTCCCCCCACGGTCACCGGAAGGGAACCTGCTCTGCAGAAAGTGAAACAGCTCTGAGGAGAAAAGTGAGATGGTGAATTTCTAGAACAAGAAAATGGAACCTTGAGCTTGTTGGCTCTGATTTATCCCGAGGTGGCGGCAGGAGCCGCGGCCCAGGGTGCCCGGCTGTGGGCGGGGTCGTGCGCGGCCTCCAGACCCCACGCGCCCTCCCGCCTCTTCCATGCAGGAGGAGCCCTGGAGGCCCAGAGACTCCAACCCCAGGGGCCACGCAGGCCACGCACGCAAGCTCCCAGAGCCCGGGGGACATTGGGAAGAAGTCATTATCAGAGAAAAAGTTCAAAACCTAACCACTTTCTCCAGATTCAACAGGTTTAAAATAAGGAAACTCTGCAATAGCTTTGAACAAAACCCTTTCTCATGGTTCCAATTACACACTGCAGATGCGTGTCAAATATATAAGACTCCCCAGAGGGCTTCCTTTTGGCAACCCGGGGCCCCGCAGTGTAATTTAAACACCCTTCTCTCTAGACAGCGTGTCGTCTAACGCCAACCGCCTAA